ATATTATATTATTATTTTTTTCCTTCTGTTTTTTCTTCCTTTTTTGTATCTGTATTGGATAAACACTTCTTTGTATTCACAAACTGTATGTATAAAAGGAAAAATACTTAATAAAAAAGACAGTGATTAAAAAAAATGATCCCACACTTTGAGCTCTGTTGTCAGGTAGCCATGATACCAGAGCCTGTCTGTATAATGTCTTGTGACGTCCACGGCCTACCCCAGTTACCACTACTGTGCATGTGTGGCAAGGACAGAAAGGTAGATGTGGCAGTGGAAGGTGTCAAAGACGTTTGGAGAGAAAAACAAAGTAAAAAACAAAACAAAAAAAACTATTCAACTATTAAATTAGTCGTTGATTATTTTAATAGTTAATTAGTCGACTAATCATGGCAGCCCTAATTGTGAGTAAACATTAGCACTAAGTGTCGATGGATGAGTGAGCAGGTTAGACCGACTCTCAGAGAAGTCACGTTACAGAAGSCGTCCTGAGCTGAAGGGGGTCCCCGAGGGGCAGTACTGAAGGGACCAAATACGACCATATGAAACACAGAGCATTGAGAGGGCTGTCAAACTCCTGCTAGTATGAGACATAGAAAATACATAGAAAATATATGGAGTTTGTTTTTAAATGGGAACTTTTGGAAGGGGAAAAAAGTAAAATAAGTAATATATCGTACGGTAACCCGTGTGTCATCATGACATCACCAAACTGCTAGTACTCAGCCCTGATAACTCGTTACCTTTCCCGTGCAGCAGAAAACGATGATGAGGACGACGGGCAGAGCCACGGTGAGGACGTAGACGATCCAAAGCCACGGCCGCTCCTCTGCAGCGTTCAGCATCTGAGCTGCCAGACCGGGCTGCAACACAAACACATCAGAATTAAGTGTTTCTGCACACTTCCTGTAAAAACTGAAGCAAGTTAGATTTTACTGAACACAAAGAACAGCCACTCTGAAAATAAGTTCCTCATGTTGTTGAGTTTATGCTCTTTACACGTTTGTCTTTTATTTCTTCAGTCTGAGCTGGCTGGTGTTAGCGCCACCTGCTGGTTGTCTGATAAAAGGACGCTTCTGTGATGATTTAGAGCAGAGGTTCTCAAATGTTTTGGGTCTGGAGACCCCTTACCAGGGTGACAAGTTTCCAGAGACCCCCTGAAAAACCCCACACTGTTTAAAAAATTGTTCAAGGTCATTTTTCTTCCTAAATGCCATGGCAATATTAACTTTTGTTTGGTTTAGTATGTTTGTTTTACCAGTGCATTGTTCCCCATATGTTTTTTTAAATAAAACTCAAATGAACAATTTATTGAAAATTTTTGAGGACCCCCAAGATACTACTCGCGGACCCCCAAGGGTCCTGGGACCCCAGTTTGAGAACCTCTGATTTAGAGAAAAACTTGACTGGTGAGGTTTTTATGATGAATAAAACTGTTTAATTGCATGAAAAGATTACAGAAGCTCCTATTGGCTCCGCCAGCTGTCAATCACACACCAACTATTGATTAAATAAATCTTAATCTCCATCGTACTGTGAACAAAAATTAAGTTTTCAGATTTGTTTTGTTTTATTCAGTAAATTAATGTATTATTTTAATAAAATTCTGTTTTCAGGACCCTCCTCTCAGCCGGACTTCCTGTCTCTGATCCACCTGAACCCACCTCGGCTGCCCCCTCGGCGGCCTTCTTCAGCCCCCAGCTGTCAGCGGACCAGCGCTCGGCGACGTTTCGGTCGTTGGTGATGAAGAAGTTATCGAAGAAGATGTCGGAAGTCATGGACCAGAGCTCCAGCCCCACGGCGCTGAATGGTGTCATCTTGAACGGGTGCAGGTCCTCGAAGAAAGCCGGGTTGGGGATCTTCCTGGGCTTCCAGATGCCCTGAAACCAAAGGGTCAAAAAGGTCAGGAGCCAGAAAGCTGCTTCCTGTTTCCTGTGAGGGAGTCATTCATCAGTCTGGTTACCTGGTAGTTGGGGTTGTCGATCATGGGGGGCTTCCACTTGCCCTTGTAGCTGGGGTTGTCAATCATCGGGCGTTTCCAGGGGCCACAGCCGGGGGCGCTCTCGCAGACGGGGTTGGGGACCTGTGGGGCCTCCCATTCTCCGTCCATGTCCTCATCCCTGACAGACAGAGAGACCTTCATCAAGACCAGACCACTGAGGTGGGGGGTTAGCCTGCATTGCCACTGTAACTTGTTCAAATAAATGATGTATGATCTGATTTTGCTGATATTATATGTGGGGTTCCACAGGGTTCTGTGCTTGGACCAAAGTTGTTTCTTTTATATGTAAATGTTTTGGTGAATGTGTCAGGGTTGTTTAGATGTGTTTTGTTTGCAGATGATACATTTTTTTGTTTGGGTAAAAATTGGGAACAAATGTTGGAAATGATGCAAACAGAATTTGCAAAAATACAAAACTGGTTTAAGCTTAATAAATTATCACTAAATTTAGACAAAACTAATTATATGATATTCAGTAATAGAAAAAGAACGGTTGATGTTTCATTTAGAGTTGATAGTATTGACATTTGTAGAGTCAGTGAAGTCAAGTCCTTGGGTGTTATTAGTGATGAAAACTTGACTTGGAAGTCTCACATAAATTATTTAAGAACTAAAATAACAAAATCTATTGCAGTATTATACAAGGTAAATGATTTATTTAATGATAAAGTGCTGTTATATAATGCAATAATTGTTCCACATTTTATTTATTGTGTAGAAGTCTGGGGGAAAGCATTTAAAACAATTACAAATCCTATTATTTTGCAAAAAAGAGCCATAAGAATTATAGCCAGAAAACATTATAATCACCCATTGAATATTTATTTATTTTTAAATTTATTATAATTAATTTCATCAAGTGAATTTATTAAACTTTTAGAGTTGGTTGATTACAGGATTTTGCTGTTTATGTAAGGCTCATAAAACCACATTACTTTTGAATATTTAATCTAATTTCATCAAGAGGGAACGTACTTATAATCTTAAAGGACTTGAAATTTGAGACAGATGTACTTCAGTTCAAGGAATAAAGTTGTGGAACAACTTGGCTAGCCATTATAAAAATGCTGGTTCGATTGTTATTTGGGAGATTGGTAAAATCTGACTTGCTGACAAAATATGAAAACATATAATAAGCATTTATATTAGCTGCTCTTTGAATAATTGCAAATCTTTATTTTTCTTTTTTTTTGCTGATCGTTACGATATGAATTCTATTTATGTATCTGTATGTAGGGGTGTATACAGTATATACAGTATATATTACTTGTTAAATGGGGGCAAACGTTATAAGGTTTCTGCTTCTCATTTTAATGACATTGTATCATGTTTGAATTTTGTTTTGTTGTAATTAATTAAATGAAACAAAGAATAAAAAATAAAAATAAAMTCACCAGTCGTCAGGTTTGACGGCGTCGGGGTCACCGACGTACTCGGGCTCGTTGTCCAGCCAGCCGTCCGGTTTCACGGCGTCTTCATCAGGAATCTGAGCGGRAGCATCTTCATCCCTGAAAGATTCCATCAGAAACAGATCCTGATGATGTCATCAAGAAAAGCATCCTGGTCTGATCTGAGCCGGACCACTTCCTGGATCACTCGGCCCACTCCTCTTTAAACACATTGATTCTGAGTGAATGGGAACTGACCAGTCCTCAGGCTTGACGGCGTCAGGGTCCTGGATCTTTGGTCTCTCGTCCCAGTCCTCTGGTTTGTGGTCGTCGGGATCCTCGATCTCAGCGGGGGGGTTGACGGGAGGGGTCATGTCCTTCAGCAGGTTACCACTGTTCACCACCGTCTGATCCACCAGAATCTCAAAGCTGTTGTCAGGGTTCAACACTGGGGGGGGGGGGGGGGGGGGCAGAAGAGTCAGTTAACTTCAGAAACCAGAGCTACCTGTTGGTCTGAGGGGGCGTGGCTTACCCAGCGTGTACAGGTGCGTCTTCTTATCGGTGTAGTACGTGCGCAGGTCAGCGTCGGGTTTCTTAGCGTGTTTTTCTTCGTACTCTCCGGTTTTGGGGTTTTTGTGCCTGAAGATGAAGTGCAGCTTGTAATCCTCTCCACATTTGTCRGGTCCGAACATGATGGTGTACGGAGTCTTGTCCACAAACTGGTCCTGCAGACACACACGAGGCGGATCAAAAACCAGAACTGGACCGGCACAGACAAACTTGAACCTGAGGAATGAAACTTACCAGGTTGAGTTCGGGGGTCTGGGTCAGCAGCTTGACGTAAGCGCCGCCGCAGTCGATGCCGGACTGGAAGTTCACCTCGTACCTGGTCACACAGAGACCACGAATCAAACACGACTCGAACACGACTCGAACACGACTCGTGACGTTTGATCCTGCTGCTTCTTTAAACTCCTGCAGGAGGAAGCAGCAGCATCTTTAATTCTTACTGGATGATGAGAGGCTCCGTGTCGAAGATGAAAGGTCGCAGCAGCAGGGCTGAGATGGCGTGATGTTTGGCTCGAGACTTCAGGACCAGACCTTTATCACCGGGCAGCTTACTGTCCATCATCTCCTCCACAGCCCATTTACCTGTTCGAACATCATCATCATCATCAGAACCCTCCATTAGAAACATTCTCAGTTTTAAACTTAATTTAATTCCTGTAAATTCTCTTAACGACCCAGAATTCATTGTTTTAGGACCCAGAGTGGGGTCTCAACCCCAGCTTACTGTAGATGAAAGTCAACATTATTAACATGTTATAAAACAAATTTCACGTTGCTCAGACGGACGGTTGTTGAGATATTTACATGTGAAATAACAGGAAGTGATGTCAAAGATGAATGTCTGCATTTGAATGTTTAAATAAATAAATGTTAAAAATTATTTTAATATTTGAGATGAATTACAATCATCTTATTTACAATGTGTTAACATTTTTAAGACTTCTGAAAGACTGATTTAAGACATTTTAATGTTAATTAAGGCCATAACTTTGGATGGATGAATTCAAGGCTTTTTAAGACTTTAAGGATCCACAGGAACCCTGATACAGAACCTGAGGCAGACTTACCGTCGTACTTGGCGATCTCTTCATCAGCGTCGTCCTTCTTGGCTTTTGACACGACCCACCTGAAACAAACAGATGTATCAGAGCTGCTTCCTGTTCCACCCTGTCCCCTGTCGTCCCCCGTCCTCAGAGACCCCCAGAGGATGGAGTGTTTGAGTGTCGTGTGCTCACCCGTCCAGCGTCCCCCGGTCAAATGACTCGGCAAAGAAATGTTCCCCCTTCGGCTCCGGAGCCTTGTAGGTCACCTGAACACAAAGTTTTAAATTTACTTTCAACTTTTTGTACTAACTAAATAACTAAACAAACAAAGAACTAAATAAAATGTCCAATCAGCCTCTGCTTTACCTTTGGAGCTGCGGGAGCTTTAGGAGGAGGCGGAGCTTCATCCTGCACATCACCGTCCAGCTCGTCTTCTTCCTCATCCATGACTSCTCCCATCAGGTCCATGTCGTCCTCCACGTCCATGTCCATGTCGTCCACCTGATCGTCCTCGGCCCGACAGACGGGAGCCAAGGAGAGGCAGAGGACACCCGCCGCCAGAAGAACCGCCAACACCACCTTCTGATGCATCGTCTGCAAGGAGGCGAGGAAGAGGAGCTGCTTTAACTCCGTCCCAGTCTTTGTCCAAGAAACACTGATCTAATTCAAAAACCTGACAGGAGGAAGAACTACCTGTCCCTCCACCTGTAGCACCAGCTAACTGATGTTTCCCTGCATCCAGCCATCACCATGGTAACTAGTCCCCACCCACAGGACCCCTCAGCTCCTTTAATGAGATCACACCTGTGGGATGACCCCCCCAGAGTTACTCCTGTACACAGGAGCCTTCAGAGGCTGCAGGCTTCTCTTTGCTTCAGGTAAAACACCTGCAGCTGTTTTTAGGTTAAATAAGGAGCAGAACAAACAAACCACAGCAGCTTTTACTGCACTAAATGAGTTTTTATCTCCTCTGAGCTGCGACGCTGCTGCAGACGAGGACTACCTCATTCAGGGCGGAGCTACTCTGTCCTCAGACACTTCCTGTCCAGATGTCTTCACACAGCACAGCTTCCTGTCGATCACATGACACAACAAGCTTCTTTCAGACGCCCTCTGTTCATCTCCATCGATAGCCTCGCAGCAAAGATGGCGCCTGYGGCAGTGGCATCACTAGGCCTTTAAAGCCCCCCTAAATTATTTTGGTGTAAAACATGTTTTATTTAATTTAAAAATATATTTTGCAAAAATTGAATGTGATGTGGTCAGAATAAATAACCATTTAATATTTCATTATTAACTAAAATATATGATCACAAATCTGTCAGTTTCCCTTTAATTTATATGTAGAGATCCTCTTTGGTGAGCTGTTATTCAGTCCACGCTATATACTGTATATATATAATATATACAAAAATTGTGTGCGTCTCCTGGGGGCTAAGCCCCCCCTCATCATTAAAACCTAGTGACACCCCTGGCCTGCGGTTCTCCTCCTTGGCATGAGACCATCCTGCTGCTCACAAAGAGTCACCTTTTGTCCTGGTCCACTATCCACAACCCAGAGTGAATAAGCCATAAAATTTAAAATGCAGATTAATGCAGATTCCTGCTCGTGTATACGCTCACTGCACACCATCTATAGAACCGGGACTGAAACAAGACGGTTTACATCCTGTGAGCCTGAAGGCTTCTGAGAACTTTAACAAACGTTAAACTGCAGGACGTTTTGTTGTGAAATGAAGCTGATTTCAAAATAAATGAGGATTAAGTCAAATTTGGTCAAAATGACATAATGACATTTTCAGATTCTTGTCTTTAAAAGCTACATTTTGATACGATATCATAATTAAATCCATATATATGACTTAATTTGTCTTGTTGTTACAATAATAC